CATGGCTAACTACCGTTGAGAGGAGTAGAGACCCTCGATCGCCTCAGCGTACGATCGAGGAGTCAGGATGTCTGGTGCATCCGGGTCTCCCTCAGGGGCAATCAGCGTGGACACGAGATGGGGCAAAGCAGCAGCAAAGCACTGGAACTCCTCCTGCGTATCCTCAAGGACGTCCGTGCTAAGAGCACACTCACCCCCGACGGACGGAGGACAGACAGACTCAGACTCAGCAATGAGGCTGGCAGCGTAGTCTAGACGACAGCGAGCATCGAAGTCAACAAGCTCAGCAGGTAGGGCAAACGCAACAGTGGACTCAAAGGAAGGGTCAGTGAGAACAGTAGTAAGAAGGCGCGTGACCTAAGGACTAGAAGCACAAAGAGAGTCAGACTCCGGCTCAGCATGAGAACGAAGAGAGGACTTTGGAGGAGATGGCAACGGGACACGCAGAGGAGCAGTGGAAGGACGCAGCGCCATGTGGTGTGTGCCGGGGACCGCAGGAGGACGCGGACGCGCAGCACTACGACTAGTGCGAGCAACACGAACAGGCGATGCAGGACGAGACGCAAGCTCACGACGCTCAGCAAGACCTCCAGTAGTACCAGTATAGGGAGAAGGAGCACGTAGAGGGGTGGTGGGCGGTAACTGTGACTGCGAGTGGACAGGCTGTGGACGCTCTACGGAAGGAGCAGGACCAAGAGAGGGCGGGAGACCAAGAACCTGCTCCAGGAGCGGAACGAAGTATGGCCTCGGCCGCGCAGCGCCTCCAGAACCAGCAAGGACGGCACCAGTACCTCCACCGGCTGCACCAGCGCCAGCGGCACCTCCAGCTCCAACAGCGCCAACTCCAGCACCCTCAGAAGCACCAGCACCAGCAGCACCGCCAACGCCAACACCCCCAACAGCTCCAGCTCGAGCAGCACCAACTCTAGTAGGATTGTCAGGTCCAGCAGCCTCAGCAGCACCTCTAGAAGCACCAGCGCCAGTAGAAACACCAGCGCCAACACCCCCAGCAGCCCCAGCTCCATCAGCACTAGTACCACCAGCAGCTCCAGCAGGACCAACTCCAGTAGCCCGAGTAGCACCCCCAGTCTCAGCAGCACGTCTCCAGCGGCGGGCAAACCACTCGCGCAGCTCCTGTGGAGAGAGTGGCTCCCGCCTCCACGAAGCACCGCCGGCGGCCACACGAGCAGACCCAGCGCCCCCAGGCTTGGCACCCCCAGGCTCCACACCCCCAGACCCAGCACCCCTAGGCCCAGCACCCGCAGTCTCAGTACCCCCTGACTCCGCACCCCTTGACTCAGCACCCACAGTCTCAGCACCCCCAGACCCGGCACCTGCAGGCTCAGCACCTCTAGCAACACCAGAGTCAACAGCTACCTCGACAGGCTCGACTGCGTCTACCTGGGACACACCTGATGGGGTAGGACCCTGAGGGGGGAGGGGGTCTGCCGGGGGAGGACCTGGTGCAAGGAAGAGCGGCGGCGGGGGGAGAGGCGCAGTGCGGTAGGGGAAGAGACGGTAGTAAGGCACCGACTCGTCAAAGGTGACGTCCTGGGAGGACAGAACACGGCGCGAGGTAGGGTGGTAATATTGCCACCCAGGCGCATCAGGGGGGAAGCCAAGGAAGACGCAGGGAACTGCATGGGGGGACAGCTTGTCCGCAGACAAGTCGCGGACAAACGCCCGAGATCCCGAGACCTGAAACGCAGACGCATCGCCAACCTTCCCGGTCCACCTCAAGGCGGGGGAGGTCTCTGGCAAGGAGACCCGGGGCTCAAGGTTGAGCTGATGCGCGGCGTACTGAACCGCAAACAGCCACAGAAAATGGGGGGCAGCCGCATGCATCATGGACGTACGAGCTACGTCCATGACCATGCCAATGCGGTGCTCAGCAATCCCATTTTGCTGTGGAGAGGTTGGAAGCGTGAAGGTCTGGCGGATGCTCTGTGCACGATAGAAGGTTCCCAGACGGGCAGAGGAAAACTCCCCGCCTCTGTCCGAGTGCAGACGCAGAACATGAAAGTCCGAGCCAAAACTCTCTCTGAGCTGGAGACGAGCTGCGCAGATCCAGTTGATCAACACCTCAGTCACGTCACTAACACGAGTAGTCGTCAACCACCAGTAGGAAGTACCGCTCGCGCCCCTGCCCACTAACGCGGGCTGGGCCCCACACGTCCATGTAGAGAGTCTGCAGTGGAGCCTCTGTCGGAGGAAACTCGGAGGAGTGAGGGGCAGCGCGCTGCTGCCCCTCGACTCAGGGGACGCAGGTAGGGCCAGGCCTCGGAGGTAGGGGAGGGAGAGACCGAGGGAGACCAGAGACAAGGACACGGGAGGCCATGCCTCGGAGACGAGGCAAGGAGGGGTGACCAAGGCGGTGGTGCCAAAGGAGAGTCTGGTGGGACAGGAGACGACACGAGCAGGGAGTAGACTTAGGACCAGACCTGGACGCTGCAGCAAACACCTGACTCGACGCAGCTACCTGGGCAGACAGAGCAGCCGGAGGAGACTCAGTAGTAAGGGTGTACATGCTCGACCCTGGCCGACGGGTGAACGTGGCCAAGTGTCGGCCTATCCGAGCACACGTGCAGTGGGTCACTCGCTGACTCGCAGGAGTGAACTGGTCAACCCCCCTATCCTGTAGGTCCGCTCCACTCACCAAGTTCGTAGAGAACGAGGGGAGGTAGAGACCTGACAGGGTGCCAGAGGGGGCTGTCGGGCACGGTAAGACAGCGGAGAAGCTAGCAAGGACAGGACCCCCAATAGGGGTCTGCCAGGGAGACTGCAACTGGCCGAGTGAGCGGTGTAAAAGTGGTGCGGTCTCGAAAGAAGGAGCGGGACGCACCCGAGTCAAGGGTGAAGGTGTGGAAGGCCTGAGCTGACGTAGTAACTAAGAGAGCAGACTCACCAGCACGTGGGGCAGCAGACGCACTGGCACTTGGGGCAGCAGACTCACTGGCACCTGGGGCAGCAGACTCATTGTCACCTGGGGCAGCAGACGCACTGGCACCTGGGGCAGCAGACGTACTAGCTCCTAGAGTAGCAGCCTCACTAGCACCTAGAGCAGTGGCCTCAATGCTTGGGTCAGGCGGTACACACAGGTAACAGTCACCCGCAACACTAGTTGTCAGGTTATAATGCATGTCTAGTCTATAGTGGGGTACTCAAAAGTGATTATAACCCTTTGGGTTTGCTATTTGTATCCCTCCACTTTCTAGTTCAACCATTCTCCTTCCTAAACTCTCTCGACATTTTCCTTACACCCTACATCCTCGAACTTCAAGCTACAACTCGAACTTCACCAATTCTCCTAAGTGACTATGGCTCCTAATCCATTCTCGTTCTAGTTTCTTAACATGCGATCAGAGCTTAAAGCTCCTGGCCTATGGGCCCATTTGCTTCCGCTGCCCTACTGTATGTCGCGCGCTGCGTGGCGCGCGACATTCTATTTTTCTTCCCGCCACACGCTCGGAACGCGTGGCGGTTTCCTGCCCGCCGTGCGCCCCGAGGAGCGCAGCGGGTTCCTACTTCGTCGCGGCGTCTTTGGGGCCCGCGCACTGGCCCTGACCGTTGCCTCGTCGCGGCGTTTTTGGGGCCCGCACACAGGCCCCTCCCGTCGCCTTGTCGTGGCACTTTCGGGGCCCGCGAGCCGACCCCTCCCGTTGCCTCGTCGCGGCGCCTTAGGGGCCTGCGCGCGGTCCCCTCCTGTCGCCCGTCGAGGCACTTTCGGGGGCCTGCGTGGCTCCCTAGCACGTCACCCGTCAGGGCACCCTGGGGGCTGCGCCCTTCCCCTCCCCTCCCTCCTAATTTCCGCTGCAACAGCAGCCCCTGGAGCAGCCGCCTCTGCAGCAGCAGCACCTGGAGCAGCTGCCCCAGCAGCAGCAGCCCCTGGAGCAGCCGCCCCAGCAGCACCAGCCCCTGGAGCAGCCGCCCCAGCAGTAGCATTCCCTTGAGCAGCCGCCCCAGCAGCAGCAGCCCCTGGAGCAGCCGCCCCAGCAGCACCAGCCCCAGCAGCAGCAGCCCCTGGAGCAGCCGCCCCAGCAGCAGCCGCCCCTGGTCCCTGCAGCAGCCACTCCTGGACCCGGTGTAGACGTGAGGGGTTGGGTGTGGGGGTGATGGTTATGGGGGTGTCGGTTGTGTGTGCCGTCCCCTCCTCCTCCTCCTCCTCCTCCTCCTCCTCCTCCTCCTCCTCCTCCTCCTCCTCCTCCTCCTCCTCCTCCTCCTCCTCCTCCTCCTCCTTCGTCTCCCACTGCTGCAGCTATCGCTGACGGGGGTGGATGCGTGGGAGTCTCGGGTCTAGGGTTTAAGGGGGTGCTGTGGGTGTAGGGCTAGGGTTTGAGCAGGGGGTGTGTGAGAGGGGCGTTGGGCAGCTGGGGGAGGTTGAGTGGAGGCAGCAGTCTTGTCATCAGCAGCACCAGCAGTCCGGAGGCTACAATCTCCGGTATTCGCCAGTCGCCTGTGGGTCAGTAGCTCGTCTGCCGCTACTTTTAGCCACTGAGCCAGTCACTCCTGTAGTCCGGGCCTTTACTTCGGTAGCCACTGAGCCAGCAGCTCGTCTGTGTGTCTGCAGCGTCGGCAGTCGCCTCTCATCTTCTCTCCCCCACAGTCTCTCCTCCTTCTCACTTGCCCTCTGTGATTACCTCTAGCCTTACTTACCTATTGTGAACTCTTGCTCTATGTCTACATGCTGTACTGATTATACCCCACTTTGACTATGGGGGTGTGTCATATTATAATGCATGTCTAGTCTGTAGTGGGGTACTAAAAAGTGAGTATAACCCTTTTGGGCTTGCTATTTGTATCCCTCCACTTTCTAGTTCAACCATTCTCCTTCCTAAGCTCTCTCGACATTTTCCTTACACCCAACATCCTAGTATCAACAGTATACATGGCAGCAAGAATAGCATCAAAATCAATATCAAAGATAACAACCCCTGCCCTAGACAGATCTCCCCAGCGAGGGATCTCTGACGCCTCAGGGAACTGGTGATGCCACGCGTCCGTCAGGCGACCGAAGCAGCGCTGGGTGGAGTGCGGGCCTCCACACTGCTCACGAGCTCGGTCGCCAGTATGGAGGATGTAAGTGCAGGGACCAATACCCCCACCGCGCTGACTTGCAGTGTACCACTCACGAAGCTGCTGAGGGGACAGGTCACAACACTCCGCTGCTGCTGGCGTGGACCACCAGCTGAGCCACTCCTCTGCGCAGAGTCGCGACCCGCTCCACCACCGCCGCCGCCGCCACCGTCGCCTCCGCCGCCTCCTCCACCTACGCCTCCTCTACCACCTCCGCCGCCTCCGCTCCCTCCGCCACCTCCACCGCCTCCGCCACCTCCACTGCTGCCGCCGCCGCCGCCACCCCCGGCACCACTCCCACCACCACCCCCACTCCCTCCACTGCCTCCACCACCACCTCCACCGCCCCCTCCTGCCCCTCCAGCGCCCTTGCCCCCCTTGCCCTTTCCGGGGCGGCGTCTTCCGCTCGGGGCAGACGCAGCGCCGACCGACTCGAGACCAACGAGGTCTGCTGCAGCAGCAGAGGCAATAGAGGGCAAGAGGGGGGAGGGAGAACACCCCTCAAAGAAGGGGGTGCGAAGGTCACCACAAGAGGCTCCTACAGTGACTATACTCTTCTCTGCCACTAGGAGGGCCTTCTCGAGGAGGTCAACGGTGAGAGTGGTGGGGCAAACTGAGAGGAAGTGGTCCCTGTCTACGCGGAGAGAGTCAGGGAGCCGGGTGACTATGTAGTAGAGGGTGATGTACATGGGGGGGGGGGGGGGGGGGGGGGGGGGGGGGGGGGGGGGGGGGGGTTCTTGGCGTAGAACTCAGCAGGAAGCGCAGCGCGGTAGCGAGTGTCACCAGTGTAGAGGTGCGTAATGAGGTCAGCAACAGTGGGGAAGGCAGCAAGGTCAGGGAAGAGGTACGGTAGCATGAGGCAGCTCAGTGCAGAAGTGGCAGGGGAAGAGTAGCGTGCAACCACAGCACCGTACAAGTTCTGAGAACTCTTGTACTAGCTAAGGTGCGCACGCTCAGTGGCCGGTAAGTGGCGGGGCACAGCAAGGCGAGCAGCAGCATCACGCGTGGCCCACTGTGAGCGAACAATGGCGTCAGCATCAGCAGGAGGGGCAGGAGAGGCACCAGAAGTGAGGTCAAATAGGGAGAGACCGTGTGCCCTATCGCACTGTAGGAAAAGCTGCATATCATCTACCCAGACCTCAAAGTCAACTGTCCGACCCTCAGCGTCAAAGGTGAGAACACTAGGGGAGGCCATAACAGCAGTAGGCAGGCAGTGAGTATAATGGGGCAGGGTAGTGCAGTGGCAGAGGCGCTGCTCTTACCAGGCAAGTGGGGCGGTCCCGGGCAGGCCGACAGGCGGCAGCGCCTCGGCTGCGGTGTGGCTCGGCGGCTCGGCGGGTTGGCTGCTGGGCGGCTCGGCGGTCGGGCGGCTCAGCTGCAGGGCTGCTCGGCTGTCGGGCGGCTCGGCTGCTTGGCGGCTCGGGGGCGGGTGAGCGGCGACCGGGCTGCGGAAGGGCGGCGACGAGGCCATGGAAGGGCGGCGACGGAGCTGCTGAAGGGGCGGCGACGGGCCGCTGAAAGGGGGGCGACGGGCCGCTGAAAGGGCGGCGACGGGCCGCTAAAAGAGGCGGCAACTGGGCCGCCGAAGGGCGGCGACGGGGCCGCTAAAGGGTGGCGACGGGGCCGCAGAAGGGCGGCAACAGGGCCGCTGAAAGGGTGCGTGGCAACGAGGCCGCTGAGAGGGCGGCGACGGGGCCGCTGAAAGGGCAGCGACGGGGCCGCGGAAGGGCGGGGACGGGGCCGCTAAAAGGGCGGCCAGCGACGGGGCCACTGAGAGGGCGACGAGGGGGCCGCGGAAGGGCGGCGACGGGGCCGCGGAAGGGCGGCGACGGGGCCGCTTGAGGGCGGCGACGGGGCCGCAGAAGGGCAGCGCCGGGGAGGCCGCGGAAGGGCCGCTACGGGGCCGCAGAAGGGCGGCGTCGGGGCTGCGGAAGGGCGACAACCGGGCCGCCTAAGGGCGGCGACGGGACCGCAGTAAGGGGCGGCGACGGGGCCGCTTAAAGGGCGGCGCGACGGGGTCACAAAGGCAGCGCGACGGGGCCGTGAGGGGCCGTAAGAGGGGCCGCTAGAGGCCGCGAGGGGGGAACGTCACAAGGCGATATATAAAGGATTTTATATAGGATTTTCCTTTGAGGAGACCCCCCCCCCAGGCCCTACGAAGTCAGACTTTTTTCTCTGATTTGCACAAAAAACTCTGATATTTCAGATTTTTTTTCCAATGTAATAAGTTAAAATCAGACTTTTTTGGGCCCAAACTCTGTAGTTTTCAGACTTTTTTTAAGGCTAACTCTGGTCCTTCAGAGTACAAACGCGTCCTTGACTGGTGATTCGGACTTACGGGTCACAACAGATTCGCAATGTCAACGCAAAATCTCCTTGACACAGCAAATCCGAGCCTTAGAGCACAAGATTTTCGCCCAATCATAGCAAAATCGCCCTGACACAACAGATTTGCGCTGTCATAGCACAACAATTTTCGATCAATCATAGAAAACTCGCCCTGACATTGCAGATTCGCTCTTTCGCACCACAAGATTCGCCCTGACACATATATTCGCCCTGTGAGAGCATGTTTTATTAGAAATCCCCTTAGTGTTGTGTGTTTCGGTAGCAGATGAATGAAACATTGATTACATTCCGATGAAACATTGAATACATTGTTTTTGAATGATCAGACTTTTTTTTTAGGACACTCTGAAACTTCAGCTTTTTTTTATACCAACTCTGAGATTTTCATACTAAAATTGTGTACTAGTCTGACGAATTAGACAGGCCAAAAACGAATCTGAGGGCCTGCCCCCCCCATTTATTTCCAGTGATTTTCATAATACCCAAGGGTGTTTTATCCGGGAGAATACGGTATACCTCTACAAGTGAAATGGTCTTGTGGCCCTTAGCTTGTGCTCCAATGTGTGGTGACGTTGTGATCCACCCCGAGCTTGCTTTGCTTTTCTTGACTAGTCTTGTGACCCCTTGCTCTCCCCCACTTTGCCTATGGGGGTGTATATGTTAGTTTTGTGTAGGCTATAGTGGGGTAGCATATATGGGGTACAACCCAAAGTTAGGGTTAGTACCAGGCCCTCAGATTCGTTTTTGGCCTGTCTGATTTGTCAGACTAGTACACAATTTTAGTATGAAAATCTCAGAGTTGGTATACAAAAAGGCTTAAATTTCAGAGTGTCCTAAAAAAAAAGTTTGATCATTCTAAAACAATGTATTTGATGTTTCATCGGAATGTAATCAATGTTTCACTCATCTGCTACGGAAACACACAACACTAAGGGGATTTCCGATAATACATGCTCTGACAGAGCGAATATATGTGTCAGGGCGAATCTTGTGGTGCGAAAGAGCGAATCTGCAATGTCAGGGCGAGTTTTCTGTGATTGGTCGAAAATTGTTGTGCTCTGTCAGCGCAAATCTGTTGTGTCAGGGCGATTTTGCTATGATTCAGCAAAAATCTTGTGCTGTAAGGCTCGGATTTGCTGTGTCAAGGCGATTTTGCGTTGACATTGCGAATTTGTTGTGACCCGTAAGTCCGAATCACCAGTCAAGGACGCGTTTGTACTCTGAATGATCAGAGTACACTTTCACAAAACTCTGAACTCTTAGAGTTAGCCTTAAAAAAGGTCTGAAAATTACAGAGTTTGGGCCCAAAAAGTCTGAGTTTAACAGAGCACACTGGAAAAAAAATCTGAAATTTCAGAGTTTTTGTGCAAATCAGAGAAAAAAGTCTGACTTCGTAGGGCCTGGTTAGTACTTGTACCCAAATTTTATTCTATGCCATCATTCCTGCTTGTTATCTTGACAGTTCAACCTGCTGCTAGGGCTGCTCGTGCCTAGCGGTCGATTGGTACTTCAATATTGTTGGGAACAAACAATCTTAAGCGCCTCTGTCGTGCCGAAACACCAAGGCACAAGCGAAGCAGAGCATATCGAGGCACCAGCGAGTCAACCTTCGGAGGTTGATGTAACCGCTGAAGGTTACGCGAAAGCCAAAGGTCAGCGACCTTTGACCTGACAAATGCAGCGCGACAGCAAGGACACACAATTGACTCGATATTGAGCAGTTGCCCGAGTCGCACTGTATCGAACCGCAACAGCAACAGTAAAGTAGTTATAACTATGTCTCTTCATATTCTCTGTATCCATATATAATCTTGTATCTCTTTGCTTTAAACAACTTACTTTGCCCTCACATACCAGCGCAAGGTGGTTCAAGGACTTCACTTAAACGCTTCCGCCATTACATGACTTTACTTAGACTTTAACCCTATCAAAGATCCTAAGGGGCACTCAGCCCAACATGGTATGAGAGCTGGTTATGGTTAAAATTATTTCTCCTCAACACCTAATACACCAAGAGACATGTCTACCAGAAAGGAGAGGAGCTCCTCCAACGGCTCTCCCGGTACTACTCCTACTCCACCTCCTGCCTCTGGCCTACAGACAGAGGAAGGCACAACAACGAGACCGGCAGCTGGGTCTACTGAAACACCTGCAAATCAAGGCGCGGGCTTTGATCCAAGCATGATGGAGAAGTTCTTCTCCTTCATGTCCTTCTACGAGCAGCATCAGCAAGGAGCACCTGCGCAATCGAACAACAGCAACAACAACAACAACGTGACGCCCATGAGTCTCGATGGCTCATCCTACGCACACGGGAATCAACAACAGCAGCCTACCTTCGCTCCGTACGGGCCTTGGCGTGGCTCCGTCAGCTTCATGCCACAACCACAACCTGCACCTGGACAAGAGAGAACGTTGGACGCACTACAAGTTCAGTCGCAGTTCGCGCACGTTCTAAAACTGCAAACGACAAAACCCTTCGATGGGAAGGATTTCTTCACCTCGTCATTCGAATTCGAGCTGATGATGAAAGGAGCGCAAATCCTTGGCTTCTTCGACGGGTCCCTGTCATACCCAACAAACGGCACACAGTATGAGAAGCAGCAGTACACCTATCAATCAATGATGGCGTACACGATACTACTGAGGAGCATCACTCCAAATCAACAAAAAAACAAACGGTCTTACCGAGGCTACGGCAACTCCGCGGAGCTCGCGTACAATCACTTGAAGACCCTGTATCAAGCAACAGACAGCGTAAACCAAAGTCGGTTAATGGTGCAGCTAACTACAATTGAAATGAAACCAGGCAAGAATAGAATGGCGTATATCAGTCGCTGCCGCGAGCTGCGCGACAAGCTTCTTCGATGTGGAGTATCGATTTCAGAGGACGCCTTCGTCACGGTTGTCATCGGCAGTCTTGGTCCTCACTGGCGCTCCACTCGCGCCATACTACGAGCCCATGGGAAAATCTCTGAAGTAGCACTTTGCGCCGAAATCCACGCCGAACAGCAAGACATGGACCTGCAAGAAGAACGACACAAGAGAAAGATGTCGGTGCCCGAATCCGCGTTTCACACTCAACGGCACTACAACAACAACAACAATCGACCGAAAATCATACCTCCGTTCTGCCACCTCTGCAAGACTTCAAGGCATCCTCGTACACACTGCCCAAATCGACAACGCCAACTTCGCCCTTCAAGCAGTTAAGTCGCCTCAACGCAAGCAAACCCGAAACTTCAGTGCTCGTCTCAACAACATCAACGAGACAACCTACGAAAGGAACAAGAAACATCGTCAGCTGCATGGCAAGGCTGAGTGACTCCTGCGCAACTGAGTCACCACCATATTACTCACCAGAAGAACAACTCGACAACAGCACGCCTCGCCGCGAGTCACTTCAACCAAACCCGACGTACGCCGCCATCGCCCAAAGCGAGCCGTCCGGGAAGGATACATGGTTCTTGGACAGTTGCTGCGGACAACATATGTGCTCTTCAGGACGTTTCGTTCAACGCGAGCACCAACTTCAACGAGAAGTCTTCATCACTGTCGCCAACAATCAGAATATGCACACATGACGACAAGGAGTAGTGCAACTTCAGTCACGAGAGACAAATGTCATACTGCAAATGTCCAAAGTCCTAATAGCAGAAGGACTTGGCTACAACTTACTGAGCGTCAGTTAGTTGATGGCGAAAGGCATACATCTAGAAGCCGACAGTACCACCCAGGAGTTCAAGCTGTACCACGGGAAGGGCGGCCTCTACATCGGAAAGGCGGTCCTGAAGAACAATGTCTTCGTCCTCGATTTCGTCCCAGCCCTGGGCACCGCAGACGGTGACGGGATCGTCACCTTCACATCTTGGACGCACCCGCCGGATCTCGACCCCGACTTCAGTCCGGAAGGCTTCTGGTATTCACATACCATTCTTGAAGCAGAACGAACACGTGTGTTAGTAACAATACAACATTCGGTAGCAGCACAGACAACATCGGCAGCAGTAGTGACAACATCGGCAGCAGCAGAGAAAACATCAGCAGCAGCAGTGACAACATCAGCAGCAGCAGAGACAACATCGGCAGCAGCAGTGACAACATCGGCAGCAGCAGAGACAT